GTGACTGCATTGGAGTATGGTGGGGACTTGATAATATGGGTTAATGTAGTAACCACATTGTTTTTTCATGTGAAACCTTCATAAGAGTGTATATCAATAATACCTTAATAAAAAATTTTTTAAAAAATCTTAGGTCATAGCACCTAAGGGTTTGGCCTTAGAACTGTGCAAGGGAAATTCAGTCAAGAGTAAAAACTTCATATTCTGAAAATAATGGAAGCAAAACACAACACTCCTGGAAATAATGAGAGAGGGACATGACGGGAAGAAAACCACTAGAATTCAACTAATCCCAGGTTCCTCAAATTGGTACAAATGAAGCAATCTCTGGGTCACCTGTCCTTGCATCAAAGTTTGATAGAGAAGGATGACCCACAGGAGCAGCCTTGCTGTGCCTGAGGATTGTTCAACACTTGAAATGAGCTTCGGATCAGTTCTTGGCTGAAGTCCACCTGGGCCCCTTTCACGAAGGCCAAGCTATCAGTGTCAACCACCACTCTCGCCCCACCCTTTTCAAATACCCTGAAAAGACAGGAGGAAAGCATTAGTGAATATTATAAATACCAAAAACATGACACCCTCTGAAGCCCAGAGGTGCACATCCTCTGTTTTCTGAAATAGAGAGGAAACAGCCCTTTTTGCCTCTAACATGTGCCGATTTTCTTTGGGGCAAAAAGATTCAGTGGAATGAATTTTGAGAAATGTTTACGGATTTAGGCCTAGATTGTCCTGTCTGCCTGCCTGCCTACGAAGTAACCTACTGGCCTAGGCAGGCCAATTTTTCTCCTGTAACAGTTATTTTGAATCAAGACAACAAACCTTCTCTGTATCCCCATCATGTGAGAAGGGTGGTGTTAAGCATCCTTGGCAAACCTTTTGAATTTGGGATAAAAGTGCACCTTCAACTGGAGCCACTTTTATCCGCCCCGCACATTCTCTGAGGACACACCCCTTCTTCCTTGCCTGTCGTCGGGGTTGATAACTGTATCCAGTGAAAATTTGTATTGGAATCCGGAGCATCCACCTCCCTCCACCTCCAGCCTGAGGAATTCTGACCCTTCGGTGATTTCCAGAAGCCTCTGAAATGCAGGAAGGGGGGATCATGCCGGAGAAGGGCGTTAAGAAGAGTCGGTAGGTAAAGGGGAGGTCCCCGCACTCTCGGCCCCCGCCCAGGCACCGCAGCTCCGCGTCCCGCCTCCTACCTGGACGCAGCTGTCGGTGAGGTGCACCAGCCCTTCGCCCGCCTCGGGGCTGGAGGACGACGCTTCCCGACGCGCCTGAGGTCCGCGGGAGGCCGCGAGAAGCCTGCTGACAAGGGAGGAGCATAAATCCAGGAGCAGGGGGCACTTGGCGACCTCCACCATGTCGCCCTCCCACCAACCCTCACCTCCCCGCAGGCCTTAATTTCCCCTTAGTCCAGGAGACGCACAACCTAACGCCCTTCCCAGGTGCCTTTCTAGGCTTGGTACCTGCCCATAGGCCAAGGGGTGACCGCTCTCAGCGCCACGGCCATTAGTGACAAGCCCCTAGAGGCCGCCATCTTCCCACAAACTCCGCCCCTTGCGTTGCCCCAATCCTCTCCGAATGGGCTTCGAGGGGCGGAACCCTCGGAGGCCCGCCTTCGAACACACCTATTGGGTGGTGCTGGAGGAGAAGGGGTTTGATTGGCTAGAAATGCTTCCTTTGCGTTTCAGGGAGTACCCACAAAGCCAGGGCGTAGCGCGGGAGAGGAGCGGGGCCGGGGGACGCGGATGCTAGTCCTCCTAGGTGATGAGCTACCAAGATGGGCCGACGTAGTGGGCACCTGGGCCGGACCAAGCCAAGCCTGGCTCCCTGGGGCAGGGGGCAGGAGGCGGGGCGCGGGCGGGCCTCGGCCCTGGTTGCTGGTAACTGGTCGCCTAACTGGGCTCCTCCCCCGGCCCGCCCCAGCAGGTTTATCTTGTGACCGAAGCGGCTCCTTCTTCCCAGCTCTGAGAACTTCAGTGGCTGCGATGTTCGTCTTACCCACTGTGTTCCTGCTTTTGGCGCTTCGCGCCTTCTCCCTGGCTGAGCCGGTGTCTTTCAAGGACTGCGGTGAGCCCCACGGCAGCCCGAGGGGGTTCCTGCGCCCTCTGCGAGAGCCCCCGCCGAACCCCGCTGAGAACCCCGGGTCTAGGTTGGGCGGGTCCCTCGGGCGGCCAGGCTCTGCCTTGGACCCCTAGTGGAGTGGGTTGGGGTAGGGGAGAAGGTGCGGGCCGGAATGAAACCCGACAGCTCACAACTTCGGCTCTTTCCTGGGACGCGTATTTGGCGTCCCTGGACGTTATTGGTGGGACTTTGGCTAAGTTTCTAAAGTTTTAAGGGCAGGCAGCACATGCAGTGCGTGGTGTGGACGACGCAGAACTTCTCATTTATGCCTTCTATTAAGGCAGAAAGAAATGGATGGATGACCTCTCCCTCCCAACTCCGTTTGCTTTTCCTTTTAATTTACGTTTTGCTGACAAGTCCGAAGCATAGCGCTGCTTTCAAGCTATGAAATTTTGTGATTCTTAATAAGTTTTTCCTCATATTTATAAAACTCGTGTTTCTGGTCACAATTGATGACACATAACCCCCCTGTTGCCGCTGTGATTGAAATCTTTGTTGGGAAATAGAACAGGGTTGGGGAGAGGGGTGGAAATTGTGAGTTCTTCTGTCTAATCTGTAGAATTAACTGTTGGAGCAAAATTTTGCTAAGTGGAGAGGTGTCATGATAACTGAAAGAGTCATGACACTGATTTTCTAAATTTGTGAGATGGAAGGAGACTTGTAGATTATACAGTCAATTATTGAATTCCAGAGAGGTTAGGTAACTTACTCAAAGGCACACAGAGTAAGTTTGCGTATATATATCCAGTGCTCAGGTAATAGTAACTGCTCAGTAAATATTTATCAAAAAAGTGAATGATAAAACAAATACTCTTTCCCCTATGCCATCAAAATTCATGTGAGGCTAAAGCAAAACTAGCTGCTGGGAGACAGGATTGATTAAGGAATAAGGACTGCTAGCCTATTAACCTTCACACATGCTGTTCCACTGAAGTAGGAGCCTGGCACTTGAAAGATGCTATTATCACCTGAGTTACTGCCTTCCACTCTGTTAAACTTAGTGGCTAATGTTTAGATAAAGTCACTGTATTTATTAACTTGTTTAGCTCTCACAGTGTGTTTTACAGATGAGAAACTGGCTCATAGAGTAACTTGCCCAAGTTTTCACAGCTGGTAAGCAGTAGGAAACTAGTAGGTGTTTGTGGACCACTTTAGGTTTCAACAGTAACATGTAAAGAAAAAATAAGGGAAAGGAAATACTGACATTGGTTTACTCATTTGAAAGCCTTTGGCAAGAAATTCTCAAGGGAAGGAGGGTTTCAGATGCAGACTTGTAGTTTACTTTTTAATTGGGAAATACAATGTAAAAACTTCAGTGCCCACATCAAAAGGTTTTGAGTTCCGCTGTACATCCCCTTGCCCCTGAAGGGGACATTCCCTCAAGTGAGAAATGGGGCCAAGAAATGAGTTTTGCAATTTTTGCAGATTAGGACTGAGGAGTTTGTTCTATTGACACTGGAAGTCCAAGAACCTCTTGTTAGCAAAAAAAATGCTGGATGAAGGAGCTACAAGTACTGCCCTTTACTCAGTTCCTATTAGATCATGTGACTCAGCCTTGAAAGGAACAGATAGAAACTGGATGTTGAAAGCTTTAGCATAAGAACTGATTTACAATAGGTTGTTGATTAAAGTTCCAGATACGGTTTTTCCTGTCCACAGAAGATAGGACAGAGTGTAAGAAGTGCTTAGAGGAGAGACCTTGCATGTACAGTTTGAGAACTTTCCATGGTGGGCAAGCAAGCAGGGGATAGGGAATGCATGTCATTTGTATACCTAGCAGTGTTGGTCAGTAGATAAAATTGTTCCACCCAAGAGCAGGCACAGCTGAGAAAGCAAAGTGCATCTACATGAGCTGTTCAGTTCCTACCCTACAGGACTGAACTAACCTGCTGACTGTGAGGGTGGTAATGCGCTCTCAACCTGCATTTTGCTTTCTGTCTTCATGCATTCTACTATTGAGACAGAAAGAGTCCATTCAGGGATCTGTAATTTCTACCCACAAAATATTTTTGAGGTGAGAGGCCCTTTTGTGTTAAAAGGGAACTTCCTAGCCACCCAGGAGCAGCTATTGTAGACTGAATTCATGGACTGAATCCCTTAAGATGATAATAATAGGAAATACTTATATAGCATTACTATGTTTCAAACACTCATCTAAGAGATACATGTGTGTTAACTCACCTACCCTATGAGATAGTCACTATTATTATCCCCACAGAAGTTAGATATCTTGCCTTGAGGTTACATAAATAATGAAGCCAGTGAGATTTCAGGTGCCAGTCTCAACAATGGTGGTTGAATGGGAGGATTTAAGCCGACCCTGTTACAGGCAGTGGCAACAAGCAGTTTACTTGCACTCTGTCCCATTCAGCTGCCCAGTTTCAGAGACCTGGATGAGGTAATTGAGTTTTTTAATATTTGTACTTGATCTTTTTCAGTCAAGCATTTATTGTGAAAAATAGTACTTCTGTCCTTGTTTAGACTGAAATTAACAACCGCAGCAAAAAGACACACACCCTGAAGGCAGGTTTCCAAAGTGGAGTATACACCTATAATTGGCAGACACATGCTTAAAGTTGTTCTCACTGGTCGGGGTATGCAGAGCTTGAAGACCACTGATATGGAGAGATACCAGGACAGGGTTGGAAGGCAGTTTGGGAGCAACCAGTCTCAAGATTTCAAATGGAAACAGTAGTGCTTGCACCTTGAGCCCTATGTGCGCTACTTTAAAATCCTGTGTTGGGATAGAAGGAGCAGTAGGGATGATTTTCTCTAGTAAATCCCTGCCCGGACATAGAGCAGGGGATTTGGCTGTGTATACTTAATAATTTCGTTCATTTCCTTTCACCCATCAAATATGAACAGTTTCCTGGAAAGCAAAGAACATTACCATCAGGTAGAGGAAAGCCTCAGTGGTTTTATTTTCCCTCCTGTTTGAATTCACGTTTCTTCTTTTGCAGGTTCTGGGGTTGGAGTTATAAAGGAAGTGAATGTGAACCCATGCCCCACCCAGCCCTGCCATCTGCACAAAGGACAGTCTTACACTGTCAATGTCACGTTCACCAGTAGTGAGTTAAAGTGGCTCTTACCTTCAAATTCATCTTAAAGTATAGCATCAATCTCAAATATTGGAATGAGCATGGGAATTTGGGGGAGGAGAGATGAAGTCAGGAATTCTGTGACTTCCCTTCCAACTTTTGCAAAGCTAGGATTCACTACTCCCTTAGACACCTTTCTACTGGATTCCCATATGCCTGTTTCCCAGAGTCCCCCATAGCTGCCATACTCCCTTGAAGCAAATAGGGAGCTTCCCCTGTGTTCCCAGGTTAGAGAAGACAGCTTGGCTTCTCTCTGTCCTATTTTGGTCTGTATTGTCCAACATGCTTTTATGGGAATGTCAGCACTGTTCAGCTACAGACTACAGAGTATTAGGACAGACCCCAGTTTGGCTTTGGAACTCCTCCAGAATGTTATTTCAAGCAATATACCTTCTAGCTATTGAGTCTGTGTTCTGCCTGAAAACACAGAAGCAATTAAACTTAGCCTCTGTAAGATTTAGGAAGCTCACTGGGGACCCAAGAAACAATCTGAGCTTGCTTCTTCAACTCGAAGAAATGTTATTGGAACTTAGTGCTTCCTGGTACCATGTTTGTTCATCTTCAGATTCCCAGGAATGGAGACAAATACAAATCTTTGTTTCTAGAAAGGGCATCTACCTTGAATCCTTCCCTCATTTTTCTGTTCCATGAAACTAGACCAGGCAATCTAAGAAATCTCAAAATTCCTGTCATTTCCTGTCCTTCAGCCTCAACACAGCTCTAAGTACTAGAGTTGTTTTGTCTCCTGGACAATACATTTGCCCTTTCATTGTTCCAAACTAAAAGTGCCTTCTAAACAAAAGTAATCCCCAACCCAGACAGAAAGAAAGAAACAGAGCCAATACTGTGGAGCTCCAGGATAACCTAATAGCTCCTACCTCTGGTTGCCCTAATTTTATTATATTTCTCCTGCCCATCTTGTTATGTGGAAGATGGAGATTAGCAAGAACGTACCTCTTCCCAGTCTTACCCAATTTCTAAGGGGTCAGCTCTTAGGGATTACTGTTACCGCCTGTGGCATTTCTGTGGAAACTCCCTATCCCCTCTTTCCATTTTTGTTGCTTTTTTGTTCTTAATTTCTAATGGAATCCTTTGGGCAAGGTATTTGAGAACTCAGAGACCCACCTCCTAAAACCCTTTAAGGTACTCAATACACTTTGACAGGAGCTGATGTAAACAGTAAACAGAAAGTTTACTGCCAAAAATCAGTTAACTTTGTTGGATAAGGTTACTTATCCAGGTAGCTCTGATTCTCCTGAGAAACTCTGCAAAGCAATGAAGAGCAAGGTGGGGTTAAGAGCAATGAAACCCCTACCCCATTGCATTTATTTATTTGTTTGTTTGTTTGTTTATTGATTGATTGTATGATTCAGTTATTTTTCAAGTTTGGAAGTGAATGCTTGCTCTGTAACATTCACAGATGTGTGAAGCATAACTACTAAGAAATAGGCCATAGAAATTAAGAAGCACAGACTTAATGATTTGCTATCATAGCAATACCTTTGCTTGAGAATATGTCTAAATTTTTTGTTTATAGTTTGGAAATAGGCTGTTGCCTTCACTGTCTGATTCTTTTTTTTTTCCTTAGATACTCAGTCTCAAAGTAGCAAGGCTGTGGTACATGGCATCGTGTTGGGTGTCCCAGTTCCCTTTCCCATTCCTGAGCCTGATGGTTGTAAAAGCGGAATCAATTGCCCCATGGAAAAAGACAAGACCTATAGTTACGTGAATAAACTACCAGTGAAGAGTGAATACCCCTCTGTAAGTGACACTGTCGTTGAGGACACTAGAGGCCTGTGACTATATTAGGAATCAGATGATGGGGGCAAGAAGGAAAAACTGAAGTAGGAGTCCTTCCTCTCTAAAAAAGCAGCAGCAGCAGCCTGGGAAAAGGAGCTGAGTTTGAGTGTTAGGGGTCATGAGACAAGACAGATGCTCTTCATTGTGTCCCTTTCTTTGTTCTTTGTACCTAGTCTAATGGTTAGCCTGGGCCTTGTGATGCCATTTTTATATACAGTGATCCTTACCACTGCCCTGTGTAGAGGTGATACTATCCCTCTTTCATGGATGAAGAAATTTGAACCTCCAATGTGCCATATGAACAGAGTCAATCCACCAAGAAATATTACAATCTAGATTTAAAACCAGGTCTTCTGACTCCAGAAGCTGTGCGATATTAGAGGGTTTTAGGCAAGTATCAACTGGTTCAAGATTTCACGTTGTCATAGCACTGTCATCAGAATCCTGATTTCTCCACTAAAGAGAGCAGTAGTTTCTTAGCTCCAGGGCCGAGAGGTAGTTTTTAACATTCTTCTTTTTCCCCTCCACCTGTTCTGACCCTACATTCACTTCACTTCTGACTCACTCATTCTGCTATACTTCTTATTCTACCAAACACTTGTGAGATAGATCCTGCTGGAATGGGCCTGTATTAAAGATAGGAACCTTGATAAGAATGGAGGAAGTAAAGCAATTGCTTTTTTCTATGAAGAGAAAGAGCTGCGTTTTTTGAAGGAAATCCAACTAGAACCCAGGAGTAATCTGGGCATTTATTTTCTAGAAACAGCAAGTAACTAAAGAACATTCTAAAGAGACTTGTAGAGAAAGAATCTTGAGTTTCAGGGATGTTGGAGACCCTAAAGGTCAGGGACAGATTTGTAGGTGAATTTGCAGAGTAGCCATATAATCATGGGCATTTCTGAGCCTCAGTTACTTATACAGAGTGTCTATTTAGGGCCTTATACATAGTAGGCTTTTAATGTATGGTAGTTATTCAGTGAATTACATTTCATTTGAAAAACAGCCTAAAACTGTTAATTTAAGCACTAAGTGAAATAGTAGTTATGTGTACTTAGGCTTGAAAAACTAATAAAACTAGTTTTGAGAAGCTGGGTGTCATTGTCACTCAAATGTTGCCTTGTGAAGAAATTTGAGTACAAGAGAAGTAATAACTAATTAAAAGTAAGCTCATGTCCACATAAGAAAGGACTGGCAAATTGTCAGTGATTTATTAAGAATGAGAAGGGACAGCTCATAGTATGAGTAACAACAAGTCAAGGCAGAGGTCTCTAATGAGGTATATTATCAAGAAACAGTTTAAGGAAGTTAACTGAAATCATATTGCTGCAAAGGGTACTGTTCCTGAAATTTTTCATACAACCATGAACTTCTTTGGACATCCTTAGTGCTTTTAACATTTCCATTTCCAGGCAACAAATAAGTTCATCCACACCTAAGAATCTAACTTGTTATGCTCTACTCTTCATGGTTACAGTTGGGAAAAACTGGATCAGATCACCAAATACATGAGAAATTGTTCAAGTGTAAAATTATTTTTCACGTAAGGCTTCACTTATGTACCACTGATCTAAGAGGGAAAAGAATGCTTTTGAAATTATATTTGATGTATTAACTAGGTTAGTATGTGGTGCTAACACCAAATCGTAGGTGTGAGTTGGTTTGCTCTCGAAAGTTAAGGCCCATACCCGTGCCCACACCACAGCCCAGGCAGCCTTTGTGACGGCATGATTCAGAAGAAAAGTAGGAGGAATTAGGCAATTTGTTACAATTTGTATCTAAGAGGAATAGTTAAACCAAGTCCGACCTGAGGTGAAGTCCTAGTTTCATTTTCCTAATTGTTTTTCTCTTTCTCCAGATAAGACTGGTGGTGAAGTGGGAACTTCTTGATGACAGAAAGCAAAATTTCTTCTGCTGGGAAATCCCAATAGAGATTGAAGGCTAGAGCTGTTTGATACCAGTATGTCCATGGGGTGGGAGGTTGGGGTGGGAGTGGATAGAGAATACAAGTGGAGGGGGGGAAGGAGAGCTCAAGTCTAAACTAAATCAGTGCCATAAAGTGAAAGGAATTTCTAGACTGCTGTTTTATGCCTCTCAACCTCTAAAAGCATATTAAGATTCTGTTGCTTGAGAGCTCAGAACTGTTGCCCTTGTAATATCTTTTGTAAAAGGGTTGAAGGAAAGAAGAGAGACAGGCTATAGGGATTGGTTTAGTTGTCCACAGGTATTTTTGCTTTTGGAATAAGGATGGTCCAACCAGACAGGACTCAAGTGAGGTTTCTTAGGAATGCTGGATAACTTGCCCTGGGTTATTGGCCCTTGTAGCGGAGGACAGTTTCTGAACCACATCCATCTGGCTGGGATATTACTTCTGCAAGTCCCTCATCTCCAAGTGCCCCGCCGAGTTGAGTGCATCTGGCCAACAAGCCTGCTGGCTCCTGACAGCACCTCCAGCGCCCCCTGTTTCTACTGTAACTCGCCTTGCCCTCCAGGGGTACCCAGCATGTCAGTGGAAGGGAAATACTCTGCGAGAGAAATTCAACTCTGATAGCTGGTTCTCTGTGGCTATCTCATGTCTCCTTTTCTGTCTTAGGTACTTTTCATTAAATGGAGCACTTGATGAGCAGATGTTTGCTTTTTTTTTTTTTTTAACAACATTAACTTACGGCCTCTTTATGCACCTGGAAATGTCCCTTTGAACAAATAAAAACTTGGCAGTCTTGTCTTCTGCACTGGCGCTGCCATCACCCGCTTCTTTCAGAGTATGTTCCCACAGATCTGTGGAAGGTGGATACCCAGACCTGCAGTCCTAGAGTCAGTAAGACTTGATCCTCAGAAATTGCCTTTTCTCCCCTTTGTGCCCAGTTAGCTTTTGTCTATTTTATATGAAATGACCTTGTTTTGCACAATCTTACACCACCAAGTGTGCTTGAATGAAGCAGTGAAAGCAAATATCAGCTAGTTGAATAATAACATCTGAAAGGTGGGGGGGGAACTGAGTGGGTGGGGAAGTAAGAGATTACAAGTGGACATGAAGCAGACTACTCTTGGGAACCTGCCATAGGGGAATCCTAGAAACTTAAAAATGAAATGTGAAGGTGTAGTAAGTAATGGCTAAGTCAATTAAGTCTTGGAATTTCCTGCCTTTGAAGCGTACGTAAAATCACGGGGCATTTATTCTGCTGCATGCTTTAATCAATGTACACCAATCCGCTTTTAGCTGTCACAGAAATTACAACCCTATTCACAAGTGAGTTGGGTAGTGTGGACCTTGAAAGGCCATCTGGTTTAGGTTGGGGTGTTTATGCCACAAATCAGCATTTATTTGGTCTAGTTCTTTTCATCTCACTATTTCACTAGATGCTTGGATTTCTTTGGTTTGTGAGCTTCCCAGGAAAACCACCAGGGGACAGACATAGATCAGGAATAAAGTTATCAACAGGCAAGATTTTCCAGTTAATTCCTGGAGCCGTTCAGCCCCTGCACTCCTTAGCTAAATCTTTTGTGTCTCTTCTCATTGTGTCTTCCGGGACAGCCCACTCTGTCTTCCCATGCTGGACTAGGGAGAATTCCATAGGTGCTTGGTTAACTGCTGTGGTTTCTGGCTCCACCAATAGGACTACCAGTGCGATCCTTAAATGCCTTAACCTTGCCATGCTTCAGTTCCCTTATCTTAATTAGGAATAATAAGAGTGAGGCAGTTGGTTTAATGAGATGATACTTATAAAGCCCATAGAACGACCCTAGCACAGAGTACACACTCACTCAGTACATGTTAGCTGTTATTCTAGGAGATAGACATGTTCCTCAGCATCTGGAAGTCGGAATATCAGAAAGTATGATGTGTCCTCAGAAAAATGAGGTTATCATCCATGCACAGAACTTCTTGAGACACTTGGAAAAGCTCAGTGCCCATGTGTGTCTGCTCTTTCCCTATTCCCAGGGAACTCATGATGGAGTCACTGAGCACCTCTGAAGCTAACAGCCACCTGCCCTGCATTTCCTACTCCTGCCCCTACATGTTGAAAGAAGAAAATCAGTTCAGCTAGTGTGTTTATGTCCCCTTTAGTCAGAGCAGAAGGGTAACACAACAGCTTATAACTGTTTACCAGCCATTGTGAGGCTACATGGAGCGTGCAGCAGTGAGCTAAGTAGGGTTCCTGTGGGGAGATTAGTTTGAAAGGTGGTCTTCAGTACCAACAGTTCGTAGGCGCCTCCCCCGCCTCCCCCACAGTCATTAGAACACTGAGAAGCACTAAACCTTAGGCTATATGCAGAAGGTCATGCTCTTTCCAGTGACAGTCTCACTTTTCTAGTCCACTGAGCAAGCCGTGGAAGCTTAGACTCAGCTCCTGTCTTACATGAATTTGGGAGAATGTTAGTTGGGAGGCCTGGCATTTAGTCAAATCTTCAGGCTAATGAAAAGCAATAAGCATGGAGTAATTTCCAATCCTGTATGTTTGGTTTTGAAACCTTAGTTTTTTTTTTTTAAGAAACAGATTGATCTTAATTACACTTTGCAAAGGTTTATAAAACAGTCTGTTCTCTGGGAAAACCCACAGACAGAAGACAAGTGGCTTGACAGAGGTGAGGTCCTGGCTGAGGGAAGACGATCTGGGATTAGCCATTCAAGCTAGGTAGTTCTAAGGATAATCTCCTCTGGGAAGGAGATTAGGAAATGGAGCTTGCCGTGTTGGGTGTTCGTTGAGTATGTGTTCCTGCGTGTGTGCGTTTGCGTGTGTGTGTGTGTGTTGGGAATGGAAGGGGCAGGGTTGTATAGAAAGTGGTACTGGATTTCTCCAGATGTTGCCTAAGAGAGCCTTTAGAGGAGTTAATTTGGGGCTGTTGTGTGTTTTTCTGTGACGAGAAACCCCTGGCCTATCCCTCAGATTCCAAACTGAATCCTATTCACTTAACAGCTGTCAGTTGACTAGCAACTAAATGGTCTGGGTGTTGGTTGCCATGGAAACAGCTAAGAGGCCCTTTGCCATGGGAACTACCATGCTCTCCAAACCAGGGGTTTGGATCCTAAAAAGGAGTGGAGGTGGAGCCCCCAAAGTGGGCTGTATAGGGGGCTCAAGGGTCCTAGAAGAGGGTGAGCAATGTCGTGAGCTATCCTGTCTAGTTCCTCGTGACAGGCGGAAGAGCTGTGACTTCTCCCACTTTCTGCCGGCATTCCGCACCTTCCTATGCTTTACTGCATGGTAGCCACAGAACACAGATGTTTCCTGTCCCAAACAGAAAGTAAGGGCAGGGGATCCTGGGGTACGCCTAGCAGTCGGTGCCGCCCCCCTCTTCAGCCGGGCCTCTGAGAAAGAAAGTCTTGGCTTCTGCATGGCCAGCCACTCACACAGTCATGTGGCCTAGAGAAGCAGCCAGCAGGTGAAAGGAGCTTAGCTATGACTGCCTGTGGGTCGGGCAGATAAGGAGCCTGGCACATAAAATGGATGGCCGCTGGCCTTGAACATGGCAGACAGCTGGGGCTTCCAAGTGAGGAAGCAGAAGAGCAGGCCAGCAACAGCAGTCTCTGTTCTCAGCATTAGAGAGCAATCCTCTGCTCTCCATCCCCACCTACCCTCCTGCCTCTACCACAGAAGGGGCACTGCCCATGGGGCAAAATATTACAGATGAGGATTGACAGAGATTCTCAGTGGATGTGCACAACTTGTAAGATTCTTTTTTTGGTTTCCCAACCAAGGGAAATAGCTTACATCAGTGTTGAGTGGTAAGATGACCCTTTTTTTGAAGCAAAGAGGAAACATCTTAGTGGCTCTGCCATTAACTACTATTAATGTGTCATATATACATGAGGGATTGGGCTAGATCATCTCTAAAGTCTCTGTCAGAACAGTTTATGATTCATTGAGACACTGAAGGCAAGTTTGAGCACTATGGCAAGCAGACACCGACTGATTCGTACCTGAGAGCAAGGAAATCCAGCTGGAGTCCACAGGGGCTTAGGACCGGGACATTTGATTTAGAGACTCCATCTCAGATACGGCTGGCCCAGATCCTCCAGAATCCTGAAGTGGGTGGGCTTGACTTTTGTCTCCTAATCTTGCCTTCTACCTGGAAATACTGGTCTCAGCCCCGTCCCATAGAAATTTAGAATCTAGGAACCTGGTACCATAGAAACGCCACCCAGCATTTGGACTGCTCCACAGGACAACTGAGCATTTCCTCAGGATCTGTGGGGAGATCTCCACTTTTGGAACATAGTAGCTGATAGATTTCTATAATATTAAAAATTTTAAATACTAGCTGAGTTTACATTTCACCTCCAACTCCAGTTGACTGACTTTGGTAGGTTATTTAACCTCTTAAGGCCTCAATTTCCTCAGCTGTGAAATAGGCTGATGAGAACTAACCTCAGGGGGTTCTGGTGATGGCCTGAGGTGGTGTATGCAAAGGGCTGCATGCAGCAGGGCTCTCCTAAGTACCTGATCATTACTACCTCCTAGATAAGAAGGCTGCAGTCATGAAAACTGCTCAGTGACCTAGAATTATAGGCATATGCCATGAATTTGTCTTCCAGATTTAATGCCCGGTGCCATTCAAGACTGCTGGCCTGCCTGGTGGCCCTCCCTGTGGTTTACCTTCATTAAGGCAAAATCTAATCCTCTCTTTATGGCACATAACCACACTCCTCATGTACAATTTTTGTGTGGCAGCTTACCTTCCTACTAGACTGGAAACATCTTGAGACTAGAGAATGCCCTTTCATCTTTAGGTAAATGCCTAGAACAGAGCACTTAGCAATTATTTGGTGAATTTTTTAATACGGGAAAATACCATGACACTTTAAGTTTTGAATCTGACCATTTAATCCTATCATAACTTTGGTCTCCAAAGGGGTAGGAAGAATAGCAGTTGGTTTGGGTTTGTTCTCCTGAAGAAGGGCACAGCAGTGCTGCGCAGCTCAAGACCAGAACTCACTACCATCTTGTAGAAGCTGCCATCTGGGTCCAGGACTCAGGCAGCACTAGCTTGGTGCTGCGCTCAGAAAGAAATGGCTCTTCCATCCCCTCCTGGCTGCTGTCTGTCTGCAGTTCCATTCGCAAGCCTCCCGACTGCTCCTGGCTGCGTCATGATGATGGCTCAGTGACCGCACATTGTATCAGCTTGCCTCTGGGAAGGTGAGAGAGAACAGGTCTGGCTTTGGCAGCTCTGTCTTGCCAATGGGTTTCAGCCCCGGGCAAGTTCGCTATGGATTCAATGTGACCAAAGAAATTGACAGCAAAACGTTCTTGGGGTGCAAGGGTTATACCCGACTTTATTTCCAGGTGGCAGGTCAGTCACTAGAATACCATTCACTCAGAGCAAGTCTGCATGCAGCAAGCCGGTCTGTGCCTCTGGGCCCCTCTGTCTACACAGCCATCCTCTGGGCCTCTCTGCACAGTCGTCCCGCACAACCATCCTCTGGGCCTCTGTCCTCGGCGCTGCCACCACTACAGCCTCTGCTCTGCTCTCCTGCAGCCTTGCAGCCCTACCACCATGTTGCATGCAGAGCACTGGGCAGAGCTCTTTTTATAGTCAACAGCCATGTATTGCCCACAGGTATGCAGTGAGCTAGTCAACCATGGCAAGGTGAGAATCCTGGCCACAGGAACTCTCATTTTATCCACAAG